GAGTGAAACATCTTATATGCCTCATCCTTCGTTATTGGAAACTAACCAGAGTGAAACATCTTATATGCCTCATCCTTCGTTATTGGAAACTAACCAGAGTGAAACATCTTATATGCCTCATCCTTCGTTATTGGAAACTAACCAGAGTGAAACATCTTATATGCCTCATCCTTCGTTATTGGAAACTAACCAGAGTGAAACATCTTATAGGCCTCATCCTTCGTTATTGGAAACTAACCAGAGTGAAACATCTTATAGGCCTCATCCTTCGTTATTGGAAACTAACCAGAGTGAAACATCTTATATGCCTCATCCTTCGTTATTGGAAACTAACCAGAGTGAAACATCTTATAGGCCTCATCCTTCGTTATTGGAAACTAACCAGAGTGAAACATCTTATATGCCTCATCCTTCGTTATTGGAAACTAACCGGAGTGACACATCTTATATGCCTCATCTTTCGTTATTGGAAACTAACCGGAGGGACACATCTTATATGCCTCATCCTTCGTATACCTGTGAGTCATCGCCGTGCCGTTTGTATTTGATTCATCACAACATCTTGACATCAACAGGTCTGTGTTTTAATTTTATAATAAACTGATTTAGTTATTGCTCGATAAATAATTCAAAATTATTCGAATTTAACTCTAGTATAAACGCATGTTCCCTTTAAAACGTATGGTCTTTTCACAAAAAATCATAACCTAAAATAGTAAGCCTACACTGCCTCCGGCGAGAGGAAGTTAAACCATTACGATTCCATTGTGTTTACAAAAGTTATGCAACACGTATCAAGATAAAGACTTAGTTGCGTCTACTTCCTTTGTGTTGATGTTTCAGATGAGTTGAATATTAGTTATTTCATTGAGGTTTCGCCAAAGAACACGCCTTAGGCCTTTTCTTCGACGTTTTTTCAATGGCTAACTTTTAAAAACTGTTACATTCTTCAAGTCTCCGTAGTTGAAGTCAAACCGCTTTGATTGGCTCTGACTGCGCACGCTGTGCTGTCATGTATAGGACATTGACCGGTTAAAATCTTTTCCCTCCTGGGTTCATTTAATTGATCTAATTAAAACAACAGACGGCTTAGTCCTATGTACAGATTTAGGTTGAAGAAGAATTGACCTAGTTTAGCTTGAACCTAAAAAAATTTAATGTAATTTAACATAAAATGAACTTGATCTGTGTATGAACGGCAAATATATTTAAAATCTATAAGTAAAATGTTGGACTTTTTTTTTTTTTTTTTTTTTTTAAATTAATAAAATTTTAAAAAAGAAAAATGTTTTATGGGATGTACAGCATAAGATCACATGATCAATCATTATTTTCAGGAATTAAAATGTCACGTGTAACATGTCACATGTCACATGGGTTTAAACTGTTCTTAAAAGTAATTAAGCATTTAGACTAATTTGAAAGATCCTTGAAAGAGATTATCTTTTCCTTCATCGTCGAGAAAATAGCTGTCAATTATGATTTTTTTAAACGTTCAATTTTAGGCAAATATGGGGGAAGAAAAATCCAATAAAGTCATCCACCCAAGTGAATCTAATGCACTGAATGAATCCGCTCACAGACTAGCTGAATTAGTTCCTATAACAATTTTTTTTTTTTTTTAAATGAACAGGTATTTTAGTTTCTCAGCCAAATGGCTTGGCTGCGTGTGAAAAATCAAAATGACAACCATAGTATTTTTCATTGGTTGCAGTGTTTTTCAGCTGTTAAACGTTATGAGTTTTCGTGTCAATATTAAAGGGTGCATAAAATAATCATTTGAATATTAGATTTTTAAAAAAAAACATAATAAAAAGAATAAAAAATGCTACTCTTCCTGCATTTAAATTTTGTTGGTCTAGTCTTGAAGATATGAAATAGTTTCGCATTGGTAATCGGAGAAGCCGCCAAATTTTGAATGTTAATAATTTCTCAGGGGACGTAGCTGCAGGCCTGCAGCCAAATACATTTACAGCCATTTACGGCAGCGTTTCCCAAACTGTTAAGTTTCACGGACCGGTGGACACGTTTCGAAACTGCACCAGGGACCGGTGCCAGGTTTATTCATTACATTTTCTTTCTATTTAAACATCATTATGCATGCTCTTCGGACCGGCGCATGATGGCCCACGGACCGGCACCGGTACGTGGACCATCACTTTGAGTAGCACTGATCTACGGGATCAGGGGATCATAAAGGAAAAAAAGCAAGCATGTGTGCTGATAGATTACATTGAGACCTATATTATCAAGCTTCTTTCAGGTATATTGAACGGTCTTTAATTATATTAATAGAGTGCTATATATTTTTGTATGGATTAAGTGCATGCCGTTTACTGCTGGATTTTTTCCTGCCACGGATAAATTATGACACCTGTCTTCAATCGATAACTGAAGCTGATGGTGAGAAACCATCAAAATCATGTCGTTGCCCCCCCCCCCCACACCCTCTCATTATGTTTCCGACTCAACAGGAAAACTGAGGTAAGAAAGAAAAAAAAAACTGCAGTTTCTACTAGAGCTGACCCGGGTATTCACACAGATACCGGGAAAGGTCGCGTAGTAGCACCCTTGGCACGTACCGTCGGGACCCGCCAGGTCCGGCTGTTAAAAAGAGTTATCTTCTCATTTTTCTACACGTATTGCTCCCAATTCGGAGAATTATAGAACAGAACATAATATATGTATATTACATGAATTAAATAATGATGGAACAGTTGCTAGCGACTGGTGAGTAACAAATTGTAAGATAAATTAAACTGCAGCCACAAAATATAAACCAAAAAAAACCGCCCATGTTTCCTATGATTCCTTCGTTAGATGTTAGCAGAATATTCCTTTTTTTTTTACATTTCAAAAAACATTATTGTGTTGCATTATGATTTTAAATCGTTTTTTTTTTTCTTTCTTTTTTTTGGGCCCAAACTTTAAAGATGGCAGCAGTCACGTGACTCGTTAATTAGGTTTTTTTTTTTTTTTTTTTTTTTAATACAGTGGCGCGTTCATGAACAGCCCGCCTCACAGCAGGCGTCTGTCGTCGTGTCTGTTTATTGCATCTAATCAAAACTGAAAATGTTATGTCTCATGAATGAGCAGACGACCCGGGTCTCCTTTGATGATCGGTTTATATCTGAGCGTACTTTGACTAGCTTCCTGCTCCTACGGCACAAATGCTCCGTCATGTTTTGGGGCGTTTTTACGTAGGATTCAATTATATCTATATATTATGTCTAGAGCTTGAAATGTGTAAACATGTCTTGTATCAAGATTTCGATCAACAAAAAAACAAATAACTGACTTCTGAGTCAGTGATTTTTTTTTCTTTCATGTTCATTTGGAATCAATTACAGGCACATGCCTAGTTAAAATATCCCGAACACCTTGGTGAACTATAGCTTTGTGCGCGTACCGAAGGACAGTTGCTACCTCATGATTAAGCGTGCAGCTATTTAAACGTGAAAAAATAAAAACATGTTGGATTGTGTCCCAGTTGTATACGTTACATTTAGACGCCGCAGTGGACCAACAGCCCCTAGGAAATACCCAAATCTGTTTAAGTTGACCCCTTAAAAAAAAAATGTTAATCATTGATTTTATACTACCCGTAAGCCATGCTGGCAAACCATTTAAAAAAAAAAAATTCTTTTTGATGTCTTCTGATCCATTAAAAACAATTGTGTTTACAGAAGTCATTGCGGAACTAATTATCTCCAACCCTACTGATGTTGAAATCAATAAAAACGTTTAAATAAAAAAGATATTTCAATACAACAAATGGCCATAAAGATTATTGGTGCGTGGCTGTGCTTTCATCCAACGACTTAAATCAGTACCCACCTTTGTTACAGTAAGAATCATTTAAGCTTAACCCTTTATGACAGCCACAATTCTTCCATTTAAAACACCACCATTTATAAAGGCCAAAATTCTTCCATTTAAAACACCACCATTTATAAAGGCCAAAATTCTACCATTTAAAACACCACCATTTATAAAGGCCAAAATTCTTCCATTTAAAACACCACCATTTGTAATAGCCAAAATTCGTTCAATTAAAACACCACCATTTAAAAAGACCAAAATTCTTCCATTTAAATCACACCATTTATAACAGCCAAAATTATTCCTCTTAAACACAACCATTTATAACAGCCACAATTCTTCCATTTAAACACAACCATTTATAACAGCCACAATTCTTCCATTTAAACACCATCATTTATAACAGCCACAATGCTTCCATTTAAACACCACCATTTATAACAGCCACAATTCTTCCATTTAAAACACCACCATTTATCACATCCAAAATTCTTCCATTTAAACACCACCACTTATAACATCCACAATTCTTCCATTTAAAACACCACCATTTATAACAGCCAAAATTCTTCCATTTAAACACCACATTTACGAACATTTACCAGTACACAACAATCACACTGTCTGAGTGCAAAAAATCACACTGTCTGAGTGCAAAAAATCACACCGTCGTATTCCACACAATCACACCGTCTTAGTACACACAATCACACCGTCTCAGTACACACAATCACACCGTCTCAGTACACACAATCACACCGTCTCAGTACATACAATTCCACCGTACCGTAGTACCTTGACATTCTTGCAGTAATCACACTTTGTCCACATGTTGTGTTAAAATAAAACACAACTTTTTTCTTTTTTTTTTTTTTTTTTTTTTTTTTTTTTTTTTTTTACAATTTTGTGTGAGTTTTTTTTCCTATCCATTCTCTAAAGAGAAAAAGTTGTATAAATAAGAATCGTGTTTGGTGTGGAAGAAAGAAATCATATTGAATAACAATGCGATGTCGCTCTTCCGGAAAATTCTACATAAATGAATAGGACAAATGACTTTAGACGGCTTTCTCGTGCGCACAGAAAATGGAACCAACCATAAATTGTACAGAGAAAATGGGCAGGGGGGGGGGGTTGGGCTTAATCAGAGCTGCCCAGGTTTTTTTTTTTATGGAAGGGATTTCCCCCTTAAAAGCAATAGCTTTCTTCTCCTCTCTCTCTTGCCGTGCACCTATGCCAGCTGCTGTTATCAACCAATACCATGTACATTACAGTGTTTTTTAATAAATTTTTAAGTTTTATAGTTATCCATAATTAACATATGTAATATAAATGTAGATTTTTTGAGAGTGGAGTAAAATTATGTGGGTCTTTTTTTAACAATTCAAAAAAATAATAATAATCGTTATAATGGGACCTAACTGGTGAATTTACTCCAAAGGGAAAACATTTTAAATTATTTGTTTGCCAAATTATTTGAAAGGCAAACAACTAAATTTTTCTATTTTATTTTGTAATGTGTACGTTAAAAATTTAAAATTTAAGAATTCAAAAATTTAATGACAAAGAATCGATATTTTATTTTATTGTTCAAAAAATGTAATATAGCAACAATTTTTTTAAAATAATATTAGTGAATTTTCAAGTTTTATTTCAATATTTGTATTTTATTACCCTTAAAAAGTATTCGATGTTTGACTCATATTTATTCTAAGCCTTAGTTTGTTATTTATATACATATACACACACACACACATATATACACATATATACATATATATACACATATATACATATATATATATATATATATATTTATAAATATATA